AGATTGTATCATGGTACAGGCCTCCCAAATATTCCAAGAGAACCTGCTTCAATAAAGAAAAAACAATAACTCTCCAACCACACAGCCCTTGTTGTCACCTAACACCCCATACTGGAACTCATATGGGGTATTATTGAACAATCACAACCCATACTCCATGAAGACCACGTCCTGAAAGAAATCTTTCCTGAACCCCCTCTTCTCGCCTTCAAACAACCCCCATAACCTCACCAAACTTATCATCAGAAGCAAGCTCCCCACAGATCAGGACACACCAACTCAAAGTGGCACCAGACCCTGCTGTAACAACAAATGCAAAACCTGCAGACATATCTCCACTGCTACAATGATCAACACCCCCACCACACATCTTTCAAGATCTATGGTTCCTACATATATCTATCACCACATGATCTACCTCATCCAGTGAACTAAATGTCCCAACATGTGGATGAAACAAGACAATCACTATTTTCTCAAGTGAATGCACACACAAAAAATGATATCACCTGTTGGTGAACATTTTTCACAAAACTATAACTCTGTATCTGATTTCTCAGTCCTCATTCTTAAAGGAATCCATACCTTCAAAAGATGAGCCTTGGAGCTTAAATTCATAACTTTGCTAGACACCAGAACTTAATAAAGAAACTGGATTTATTGTTTATTATAACAATCTGTAGCAACGTGGACTAATTCATTATCTGTTCCAACTTTTATTTAGCTGTGACACTCTGATTACCTTTCCCAGACCTGAAGAAGAGCTCTGCCTAAGCTTGTGTCTCTCACCAGCAGAAGTTGGTCCAATAAGGACTGGTCCACACTAATCCCCCACTTTGAACTAAGATATGCAACTTCAGCTACGTTATTCACGTAGCTGAAGTCGAACTATCTTAGTTCAAACTTACCGCGGGTCCACACGCAGCAGGCAGGCTCCCCAGTTGACTCCCCGTACTCCTCTCGCAGAGCAGGAGTACCGGCGTCGATGGCGAGCACTTCCGGGATCAATCCGGGATCGATTTATCGTGTCTTGTCTAGACGCGATAAATCGATCCCAGAAGATGGATTGCTTACCGCCGGACCTGGAGGTAAGTATAGACGTACCCTTAGAGATATTACCTCACATACTTTGTCTCTCTAATAGCCTGGAAGCAATACAGCTACAACAACACTTGCAACATGTAAATATCAAGTATTACTGAGAAGGAAGATCACTACCGGTTAGAGAATGAGACTGAAGGTTTATAGCTCAAAGTCTGGTGCACATATCATTTGTTCTGTGACCTTGGCTAAGTCATTTCATCTATCTCTACCTCAGTTTCCATCTCTGTGAAATGAAGATAATGAAAATAAATTCACAACAAGAGTGTTGTGAGTCTATTTCTAAAGTGTTTTAGGCGAGGCAATGTGGCTCCATGGATAGAGCATTGGCTTGGAAGTCAGGAGACCTCGCTCTGCCATCGCTGGCTCTGCCTCTGACCTACTGTATGGTCTTGGGTAAGTCACCACTTCAACTCTCTGCCTCCCCTTCCTGTCTTATCTATTTTGTTTGTAGGCTCTTCAGAGCAAGGATAGTCTCTAAATAGGGGCTGGTCTACACTTAAAAGTGTTACCAGTATAACTATGTTGGTTAGGGATGTGATTTTATTTATTGCTGACATAGTTATACAAGTAAAAGACCTACTGTAGATGTAGTTATATCAATAAAAGGTATCATATCATGGTATAATTTATGTAACCAAACCAGAATAGGCTATATCAGTATAACTACTGTATTACGGGTATAAGTGCATCCACATTAGGGGTGGGAGCGTTTTGGTTGTTTTGGGGTGGGTTATTGTCACTTTTACTATACCAGTATACAAGCCCTATGTGTTTTTACCATGCTTAGCTCAATCGGACCCCAATCTCAATTGTGGCCTGTAGATGCTAATGTAATATTAATTTTCATATCCTTGGATGAAAGGCACTATATGCAGTGTGTTATTAGTGTGTAAGGGTACGTCTACATTTACCGGAGGGTCCGGCGGCAGGCAATGATGTTCTGGGATCGATTTATCGCATCTGGTTTAGACACGATAAATCGATCCCGGAAGTGCTCGCCGTCGACGCCGGTACTCCAGCTCGGCGAGAGGAGTACGCGGCATCGACGGGGGAGCCTCCCTGCCGCGTCTGGACCCGCGGTAAGTTCGGACTAAGGTACTTCAAATTCAGCTACGTTATTAACGTAGCTGAATTTGCGTACCTTAGTCCGAAGTGGGGCGTTAGTGGGGACCAGGCCTAACTGTTGAAACCCACACCATCTAGTGTTGTCTCAACTGATCTCCCAAGCTAAAGAAAGAAAAGCTAGCTCAGTATTCAGATGAGAAACCTCCAAGCAACAGAAACTGAGGCTAGGCCTACTCTACAAACTTTTGCTGAATAGCCATGTCAGTTAGGCATGTGATTTGTGACCCACATAGCTGTGCCAACAAACCCCCTAGTATAGATGCAATTATACTGGCAAAACTGTTTTTTGCCAGCAGTATAGCTTACTTCACTTGAGATGGGGCTGGAAAAAAGGATGCCAGTTCAAGCACAGTTACGCTGACAATAAGGGTCGTACACACTAGGAGCGCTTTGCTGGTTTACCAGAAAAGCTTTTCTAATTTAGATTTGTCCTAAGATGTTGCAGGAAGTGATGTGGTAGTCATAGTTGAGGTGAGATGAGATTCTGCGGCTTGCAATGTGCTGGCCAAGGGATGTACTGGCCGCTGCTTCCCGCATCCCCCATTGGCCTGGGACGGTGAACCGCGGCCAGGGAGAGCTGCAATCGGCCGAACCTGCAGACGTGGCAGGTAAACAAACCATCCCGACCCACCAGCAGATTTCCCTGATGGACCGTGTGCCAAAGGTTGCCGATCCCTGGACTAGATGATAATGATGGGCCCTTCTGACCTTAAAGTCTATGAGAATACACTATGGTATATGTGTATTGTTGGGAGTGCTGTCTTTTAGATGAAACATAAAACCTGTAGGTTTTCATAAAAGTAACGGTCGTAACCTTTGTGCCCGGCAAACTCCATACTTTGTTAAATACATGATGCCTTCCCTGAATTTCTTTCAATTTGAATCTGATATTACAGCATCCTTATTCACTTTATCTCCTAAACTGTACATTGGTGCCATTAGAGAGCCTAAATGATCCCTGTGTATAGTTTGTATATTGATTAGTGAAGCACTTCGGGATGCTTTAGGATGAAAGGGACTGTAAATGAATTGAATTTATTGCACCTTTGAAGGTGATTAGTGCTGCTCAGGCTGGAAGAATACAATTGTTGATCAATAGACTGGCGTATTTTATTTATTTTTCATTTAGTCATGTAAATTGCTAATTGCCAACAGTTTAGAAGAATAAAGAATCTACCCTAAAACATATGTGTGTGTTGGGAGCAGAAGAGGCAATGTGTGATGGTGGACAGCCAGAAGACTAGCTGGAAGTGGCTTGGCTAAGGGGTTAAATTTCATTCTTCCAGCTCAGAATTTAGGTTATCTGCAGGGTTTGCTGGGAACTTGTGAGAGGGAGTGTATGTGTACTTTTGAGTTATTTAATTGGATTGTTGTACAACTGGTTGATCAGCACGTACCATCTGTACGGAAGAATTTGTATAAGTAATGCTGTCTTGTTTTACTGTAGAGCTATAAAATACTGAGATGACTGATGCCTGGAAAACATATTGGGATTACAATACATACTCCATCATGACTCCTACAATCATTCTATAAAATACTTTTGTGACATTACTCTGAAATTCAGATGAGCTGGCATATGGAATAAAGGTTTACCACTATGCCAGGACAAGGGAACACATGGATTTTTACACTGATTTTGCAATTCTGGCTTACTCTTCAGGCAATATGACATCAGGTGATATACTAATCCAAACAAATAAAAATGATCTAATTAAAATCCAAACAAAAAGGGATCTATAAAAGGCTAAAATTTCTTTGCAAACAGGACTAGCACCACAAGGAACCTGGCAAACTACCCCGGCATTATGTTGCTTTTGCTACAGGGATATAAGATTTAGTGGGAGACCTCCAAGGTTCTTTTTCATGACAAATTGTCTCTGCTGTGTATCACTCCCAACAGATTTTACTTCCCAGATATACACTCCCAACAGGTTTTATTTCCCCAGTGATGACAATAAACACTCCTGAACAGCTTTCTCTTTGTCACTGTTATTCATGTGCTGTGTTAATGCTTAGGGACCTCAGCTGGACCAGGGCCCCTTTGTGCTAGGTGCTGTACAAACACACAACAAAGAAACAGCCCCCTGCCTCACAGAGCTTACAGTCTGATACCAAAGACAACAGGTGGCTGCAACAAATAGATGGGGGAGACAAAAGGAAACAAGCAGAGAGAATTGAAATTTTTATTAAAGTTGATGTTTAAAATTAAATATACACAAGTTAAGAGGGAAGGTACTGTACCTCTGGGATCAGGCTTGAGTTATGAGGGATTACACGTATCGGTTACAAGGATCACGAGATACATACATATCACATAACCAGCATAGACCCGGATTGGGGTGCGGGAGTTTTTAAAGCGTCAGTGGATAAGTGGGCTCGGGTACGCCACCCATGGAATGTATTAAGAGTCCAAGTCAGTATCAGCATAGTGAATAAGTACATGGGTGGGGTTATACTAGTCAGCTTGATTATCAGGTCCCTTGTTCTTCCTATGCTCTGGAAAGCTTGTCTCTCTCACCATCAGAAGTTGATCCAATAAAAGATATTGCCTCCCCCACCTTGTCTCTCTAATATCTTGAGACCAACACAGCTACAACAACACTGCAATAAACTCTCTCTTGCCTTCCTTTCCTGGCTTAGATGTAAGAGAAACAAACTCCAACACCCCTCTTCCCACTTCCCTGCTCCCTCCCCACTCCTTCCTCCCTCCCCTCCCCTGGTATTCACGTCTTTTCCTCTCATTCATTTGTTTTCCGTGTTGGAAATACCTCGTGTCTGTCCCCTGCGTTCCGCCCTCCTCTCAGACTAGTCCAGCTGCCCTTTCACATGCTTCCTCTGGAAGCCCTGGCACGGAATCAGCCCCCTCCCCCGCTCGCTTTTCCATGCCCCTGCTCCAAGTCAGCCGCACTACTAGGATCGCAATTCGGGTTAGCTGCAACGGCATGGAAACACCTTCTCGATCTCAGCTGTGGAATCCCGCCCCTGCAGCCACCACTCCCATCTCAACCCCCCCTCTTCCCCCCAGCAGCTACAGCCAGAGCGCCAACTACTTCTCTTTCCCCCCGTCCACCGCCCCCTCCAGGGTAGGGTCCATCTGCTCCGCTCTGTCTCTCGCTCCCTCCCTCCCCCCACCCGCTTTCTCACTCCTCCTCCGCGCGCCCCCCCTCCCCAAACGCTCCGAATCTTCGCCGGCCGTCGCTACGGAAACCAGCCGATACCCAGTAAATGGGCAACCTGCAAAAGCAATGCAGCCGGGTAACAAAGAAGCCCCCCCCCCCCATGGGGTTCTGCAGAAACATCTCAAGTCCTTTTGCTCTCTGTGTATATATTGGAGGAGACGCGTCTTGCCACATAGCTAGGATCCACAGCAATTTAACACAGCAACCACAAGAAGTGCAGATGGAGGGTATTTTTTCCAGCTTTTCTGGTGAAGAAAATCAACAGCCTCCTCCAAAGTGCATTTCACAAACGCCTGGATGCTACTGGATTTGTCCAGATTACGTTTCTGTTTGGGACTTTCCCATTTACACAAAGGGGTTGGCTTCCTTCAACCATCACTGCCGATAGCCTGGCCAGCGTCTTTTCCCTTAAGGGCGATAAGATATGTTTGCTGGCAAGATGCACTTCGGCAAAAAACTATTTACATCAGCTCTGGGGAAATATAACTTGGTGATTGAATAAGGCATCAAACCGAAGCCGTGTGTATAAAACCAAATCGTTACAGACGCTTTTCAGCTTGGTTTCGAAAAGAAAGATAATGATTAAACCAAAGAAATCGAGGCTGGTACTAAGCGTTTTCCACGATGCGATCCGTTTTCCTTGAAATGCAGGAGGGAAGTTGTATTTGAAATGCAGCACAAGGGAGAATAAGAACATTCTAAAAAACAAATGCCCCTTCGTGTGTTTTGCCCCCAAGAAATGAAATATTCCCTTGACTGATTCTCCTCTTGCTACAAATAAAGGATTGTTCATATTAGGGTTATTGAAATGCAGCGAACATACAAAGATCATCAGATTCTGCAGCACAATGCGATCTTTGGGGTCAGAGAGGTGGGCGGTTTGGACGGGTGTCTTGAAATCCTGAACCCTTGATTATTTTAATGGTTGTAACGTTCTTGTTTATAAACAAATCGGACATTTTGAGATTTGATCTTTTTTTAAAAAGTAATTCCATCAGTTTTCCTCATTACTGCTCTTTCAACAGAGGTTTAGGTAGCTTTTCCCATCAGTATAATTTATACATTGCAACTGAAAAAAACAAACACCAGTCCATGTAGACCTAGGCTGCCATACATGCAAAAAGCCACTCCTCCGCACCCCCTAAAAAGAGATTCAGATCCTTTGTATTTCACGCAAATCATTGCTGCTACTCATGTACTTAGCAGCAATATTATTTCAAGCGAATTAGTCTCAAATTACATTTTATAATTTGGGGAAAGCACAAATATATTCCTGATAACGTCGCTTCGTCCATTAATTTAATGCATGAAAAATCTAAGTGGTAGCCGCCTCAGAAAACAGTTTTTAAAAATACAAATCAAGGATAATCAGACAGCAGAATTTAATTAGACCCGTACACTAATTACAGAATATTTTATTTCAAGCCAATATTGCTAGGGGGAGGGGTTTGATTCTGCTTTTTCGGCGGCGACCGCGGCTGCTTTTACCATTTTCAACATCTGGCCTACAGACCTACTAATTTCAACTCGTGATCTCGTTTGGCAAAACTCGAACTCGATCTACGTGATTTAAATACCTTCCAAATTGGAGCGATAGAACAATTGCAACCAATTAAATTAAAAACTCAAACCTCGCACAGTATCTGTTGATCTTCTACAGCAGAGGGTGGAGGGGGGGGGTGGAGTAGGGGAAAGAGGATGAAATCACAAACACACAAGTCAAACCATTGTCTCTAATTTAACACAGAAGCAAATGGGGGAGAGAGACAGAGACACACAAACAGAGCCACTGCAAGTCAAATGAAATCCCCTTACAGTGTTAATTCACCTCCGAAAAGAAAGGGCAATAAACCCATGCATCATCATTTTAAATGAAGAAAAAGGAGTGCATGCATTTTTCCATTACTTTATTTATTTTCGGGGTATTAATTATCAGTCAAAGGCTGATTTCAAATTATTGCAATCGCGGCTCCATTGTTCGCTCCAATTGGAAGCCCCACCCCCTCCTTTGTCTGGCGGCGCCGTGATTGGTCGGCGACGGGCGGGGGGTTGCCGTCAGCGCTCGGAAAGCCCATTCATCTGTGCACTTGGGCGTTGGACTCCGCATCTTATTAGCAACCAGGGAGATTTCTCCATTTTCCCCTTGTCTACAGTACGGCTACAAATCTGGGATTTTTTTATTACTTCTTTTTACTAAACTTGGGCTCTTTTTTTTTTACTCGACTTTTTTCCCTCCTTTTCCCCCCTTTCTCCTGTGCTGCTGCTTTTTGATCTCTTCAACTTAATTTTTTAAAAAGGAGTGCATATAAATCGGTTCTGTTCTCTCTTCTCTTTTTCCCCCCCTCTGGTGTGTGTGTGTGTGTTGCTGCTGCTGCTCGCCCAGTATTTATACCAATCCAACGCTCTTTGTTTCCCCTCCTTTTGGATCTCTTGAGTTTCTTTGTTGAATAAGACAGCATGGGTGCCCAGTTCTCCAAGACCGCTGCAAAAGGCGACGCCGTTGCTGAGAAACCTGGGGAAGCAGTGGCTGCATCTCCTTCCAAGGCGAATGGACAGGTAACCCCCCCCCCCTCAACCTACCCGATTTTTTTTTAAGGCAAAACTTGGACTTTTTTTTTCTTGCATCCTGTTTAATTTTTCCTCCCCCTTCGAGGTGCCTTGGGCATATTAGATGGAGAATATGGCCAAAGCTTTTATCTTGAAAACTTAATGCAAAGGAATGGCTTTTTCTACTGGTTTTATTGGGGGGGGGGGGGGAAGGAAGGAAGGGTTCCATAGACCCGATTTTTTTTAACGGAGTGAAGCAGATAAAAATCACTGGTGCGTTATTTGAATGGGGTGCAAGCTGCTAGTAAACTGAGGAATGTGATACTGGGTTGGCTTTTCTGTCCATTCAATCTCCTCCGTGCGTTAGCTTTTTCTCCTGAAGACGTTTGTCTGTGACTAGCCAAAAATGCCCCTGATGGGAGGTGGATTGGTAGATAGTAGTATGAAATTTGCTCTCTGCAGTGCAAACTGGCAGGGGTGAGGTTAGGGGAGGGAAGTGGCATGCCCAGGGGTACCCTGTTGGGAAGAGTGCTGTGCGTCTGGGAGATGGCTGGCTGGAGAAGGGAAGGGGCAGCGAAGCACGCTCTTCTCCATATTGTTGCATGCCTGCCTCGCCCCTACTCCTCTACGGATCTGGGCTCAACCTACGATTTAAACCATGGGGGGGCTGACTTGCTCTGGGAGGCTTTTCGTGTCACTCTGCCTGTCTCAACACAGTCTGCACTTGGGGGGATAGGGGTGACTCTTGGCGTTGCACTAACGTGACCCTCGTCTCTGCCACCCCCGCCCCCCGTGCAACAGGGGTAGCGGCGCTGGGCGCACCGCCTGGGCTACTCTAGAGTCGAGTGGCGCCTGCATCTAAACACCGGGCACCCCCGCCACGCCTCGGAGCAGCTGCTGCTGGAGCCAGTCGGACTCCGTCGTCCTCCGGAGAGGCTTTAGACTCGTTAAAAATGCAAATGCAGCGAGAGGCGGGGGCGCCTCTTAACCAGCCAGCAGGGGGAGGGAAGCCACGTCTTTATTTTGATTTTTTTTGCTGGCTGAAGGGGGCGGGGGATGGGGGCGTGAAACGGACGCAAGGACCGAGGCGAGCTTTGTTAGCCTTTCTCCTCAGCTGCGCTGCTGCTGGACAAGGCGTGCGTGAGCCCCGCAGCCCGCCAGCTGCTCTCCTCTTCTTCCCTGCCCCCTCCTCTCCGGCCTTCTCCAGCCCGGCTCTGCAAGCTGGAGTCACACTGCCCTCTGCTGGCGGAGAGCCGCTGTAGCCCGGCTGGCCTTAGTCCCGCCGGAGCTGCGATGATGGGAGGGCGGGAGGGGTAGCTCACTGCCCTGCAGTGCCTTGCTGATGCGTTGGCTTTTTCAACCACCCAGGAGTCCCCACCGTACCTTATGAAAGCGGGCGGGGGCGTGGCTTGGTTCTGCATTTCCAGTGCAGCACCAATGGACTGCGCTCCCGAAGCCTGGGCTGGGGAGAAGGCAGGGATTTGAATTTTGAAAATGCTCAGTGCTGCCTTCTTCTCTCGAGAGGAGCAATGGCGAGTCTGCTCATTGCAACTGCTGGCTTATGACCCCCCTCCCCCCTGTTTCTGCAGTTAATCACTTGATCTGATCAAATCCTCTGACTGGTATAATTGTTCAAATCATGCCCTAGTATTGGCATAAAATGGCAAGTATTCTTAAAACAGTCCGTAGTGTCTGATCCATCCAATTTTGTCTACGTGCAGACTCTGGTTAAGGGAAATGAACTGTTACTCGTCAGGTGACCCTATTGAGCTTGGGATATGGCTGAGAAGCAGATCTTTCTCCAATAACACTGAGTTGTTTTCTTCCAGGAAAATGGCCATGTAAAGGTGAATGGCGATGCCTCTCCAGCAGCTGCTGAGGCAGGCAAGGAGGAGGTCCAAGCAAATGGCAGTGCACCTGCTGAAGAGACAGCGAAGGAAGAGCAAGCCTCTTCTGAGCCTGCCTCTGAGAAGGAGGGAACAGAAGCAGAGAGTACTGAGCCAGCCTCGCCTGCTGAGGGAGAGCCCTCCTCGAAGGCAGAGGAGGGAGCTACCCCTTCTTCCAGCAATGAGACCCCGAAAAAAAAAAGAAGCGCTTTTCCTTCAAAAAGTCCTTTAAGCTAAGTGGCTTCTCCTTTAAAAAGAACAAAAAGGAGGCTGGGGAAGGAGCAGAGAACGAAGGTGCAGCTGCCTCCGCAGAGGGAGGGAAAGATGAAGCAGCTACTGCCCCAGAAGCGACAAGCAATGAGGAGGGTAAACCTGCCCAGGAGGAGTCCTGTGCTGCTGCAGCTAGTGGCACAGAGGAAACAAAAGAGGAGACTGGTGACTCTCAGGAAGCAAAATCAGAAGAGACTGCACCAGAGAAGCCTGCGGGAGAAGAGGCCAAGCCTGTTGAAGAGCAAAAGCCTGAGGATAAACCAGAAGAGGCACCAGCTGCCTCTGCCCCTAGTGCTACAACTGAGGCCACCTCAACTGAACAAGAGGCCCCCAAAGTAGAAGAGGCAGCACTTCCTACACAGGAAGCCCCATCTGAGTCTAGTCCAGAAGCCCCACCAGCTGAATCGGCAGAGTAAACATGGCAATTTTGAGATAATCGAAGAACTTTTCTCCCCCTGTTTGTTTGTTGGAGTGGTGCCAGGTACTGGTTTTGGAGAACTTGTCTACAACCAGGGATTGATTTAAAAGATGTCTTTCTCTTTTTTTTCTCTCCCCACAGATCCCATCTCAAATAATTCTGTTACCACCATTCCAACAGGTAGAGGGGAGACTAAACACCTCCCTCTGCCTTGTTCCTTTTTTTTTCTTTTTTGCATCAGTATTAATGTTTTTGCATACTTTGCATCTTTTATTCAAAATGTAAACTTTCTTTGTCAATCTATGGACATGCCCATATATGAAGGAGATGGGTGGGGTCAATAAGGGATATCAAATGAAGTGATAGGGGCCACAATGAGGAATTAGTGATGCACATAATTGCCAAGAGAATGTGCCACAAGAAACGATGTAAGGGGTTAGTCTTTTTTAAAAGAAAGTTATTACAATGTATTTTGTGAGGCAGATGTTCTATAAGGTTTACAACACTACAAGTCTTGACTAAGAAGGAAAGGAAAAAAATCAATACCCAGAAAAAAAGATCATAGTCTTAGGAATTCATTTAAACCATAGGAACTTTTCACTTATCTCATGTTAGCTGTACCAGTCAGTGATTAAGTAGAAATACAAGTTGTATAGGCTTTATTGTTTATTGCTGGTTTATGACCTTAATAAAGTGTAATTATGTATTACCAGCAGGGTGTTTTTAACTGTGACTATTGTATAAAAACAAATCTTGATATCCAGAAGCACATGAAGTTTGCAACTCTTTCCACCCTGCCCATTTTTGTAAAACTGCAGTCATCTTGGACCTTTTAAACACAAATTTTAAACTCAATCAAGCTGTGATAAGTGGAATGGTTACTGTTTATACTGTGGTATGTTTTTGATTACAGCAGACAATGCTTTCTTTTCCAGTTGTCTTTGAAAATAAAAGAAAACTCTTCAGATGCAATGGTTTTTGTGTAGCATCTTGTCTATCATGTTTTTGTAAATACTGGAGAAGCTTTGACCAATTTGACTTAGAGATGGAATGTAACTTTGCTTACAAAAATTGCTATTAAACTCCTGCTTAAGGTGTTCTAATTTTCTGTGAGCACACTAAAAGCGAAAAATAAATGTGAATAAAATGTATAATTTGGTTGTGTTTCTTTTATGGATCCTCTGACAGCTATAAATGGACTAGCAAGTGTGGCTTAAACTTGCATAGAGAAGGATCTTGTGTGCCATTAATGCTATCTTTAGAAGTGGTTTAGAATTTTGGATTCAGTAATATTCCAAGTCTTTATTATGAAGAAATTTATAAGCAATATCTCCAGATGGCTTATGGCATCTGCTTTTTTGAACAAAAGACTGGAAGCCAATCTGAGAACATGATGGCATAGTAAGACTGCCGTTGCCCAGGTTCCATCTTGGTTTAAGACCAGTTGTATACAGCAGACTCAATTCCTACCTCTTAAAGTTAATATTTGACTTGGATTATATTGGGTAGGGTGTTTAGAATATGGTCTTAGGCCAAATTTTTCTAAACTGGTTGCCTAAAATTAGGCACTGAAATAAATGGTCCATTTGTTTTGTTATGCCACTTCTACTTGTCTAGTTTTAGACAACCAGGTTGAAATATATGTAGCGTAAAAACACTTGTGTTTTCTTGCAGTCTGCTGAGCATTTAAAAGCAATATTTTTCTCAAACATGTTACTCCCTATTACAAATAAGTTACAAAGGGGATTGCTAAATTTGTCTATAAAAATAGTCACTTGGTGCTTGCCTTTAATTGTTTGGATGTTTGGCTAATTTCCAACATATTGCTCAGGGCATGTTATGCCTTAATAAAACAGTAGGCTTATGTAAAAGTAGTAATGGTGTTCAGAGGGTGGAAATTGATTCAAGAAACTTTCTCCTAAGTTTATAGGAGAAAGTTTAGTATTACACTTCCATCAAAATTTTCAGCAGAAGCTTTCTTTGGAAGTAATTATGATTCATTTTATGAGAAAATGGCACATTAGCACCTGGTTCCCAAAAGAACTGAATTAACTGCAATGGATTCCTGCTGAATGCATACTTATTTTTATTCAGCTGTCTACCATTTTAATTTTGGCTTGTATGTACACTAGTTACCCTGGTATTTCTCTATAGTTTTAGATATGTATTGAATATTATGCTGTAATGGCCATGGGATGAAATAAATGGATGTAAAATGAGATCCTCCACACCAGTGTCATTCTTGGAGTACATCTATTGAAGGTGTTCATTTTATAACCATTTTACTCAGGGTTTTTATAATATGGTTGTTTTTATTAAAAAAAAAAAACTAGTTCAAGACATTTGCTGTCTTGGCCCTATATTCAGTCATTTTTTTAAATACATTCCTTTATATTTAAATCCAAGTATTTTGTTTTTAGAAAAGTCTGAGGTGTTTTTTGTTTGTGTTTTTTTTTTTTTTATTATTATTATTATTATTATTATTATTTTATTAAGTTGTCAGGAAGAACCAAATCACTGAGTTCCCTTCACAGAGCAATAGTCAATACTTGGTGAATGTGGTTTTTAAACTGTTTACCAAGAAAGCAGTTTATTACTGTGTAACTATTGCGATGTTTCAATTAAAAATGTTAATATTGCTCTTCAGTAATAGCTACTGTAACTGTTTCATTGCAGTTCAAATCCATTTGAAATCTTGAAATTTAGATACCTTTTGAGACTTGCAAGAGCTGTTGGAAACATATTCTGACATAGTTAAACAGTTCTATTAGGCTAAATTACAATGCTTTTTTCTTAGGCAAAATTCTTACTAAAATCAGCTTTGCTTGAACAAGGACTTCAAGATTCAAAACCCCCTTCAAATTCTAATGTCATGTCTAAGCTGCATTTTAAAGTCTCCATAATAGCAACATTTCTAGTGAAGTGATCCAAGTTGAGTATTTATCCCCAGTTCATGAATGGGAAAGTGTAATGACTTAATTCATTTGATTTCACATAAAATAAAACAGGTGGGAGGGAGGGAAGAAATGTAATTTAAACTATGTCCTCCATTAGAGTAGGTCCATCTTCCTATGTAAGTGTATACAATTGTTTTCTGGAAATCAGTAATGCTCATAAACATTTCTGCTGTTGCACTTAGGCCCTCACTAAAAAACCCTCCTCCTATAGGTTGTAAACATTCTCTTAAGTTTATGCCTTCATTCTGTGAGGGGGAGGATTTGTTTCCAAACGGTTTAAAGGCAAAAACTTTAATAACAGGCTTATTCTAAATGGCTGTTCTGGAAGTAAAACTCAAGTAGCATTCTAAGTTCAACAAAGGTTTTATTTTTGAAGTGAGGTATTTTTTACAGCCCTGCTTTTAACTTGAGAATACAACTGTAGGCTTGACTGCTGCCCTTATAATAACACCTCCAAGCAATAGTAACTGAATTCAGTGCATAGTAACATGTACTGCACAGTGAGGGTGGCAAAATGTCCTCTTTCAAGATCCACAATTCAAATGTTGGTTGAAAGTCAATTTTTAAGAGATTGAGTAGTATGAATTTTGTATACGAGTATGCAGTCATTGGAAGCAGCTTTGCTGTAGGTTATGACTATTTTTTACCACTATTAATTCACCAAGGTAGAATGGAGTATATTTTAGTTTCATGAAGTAGGCAGCAGGTGGAAATAGTATGTTTTTATAATGAGCGGTAGGCAGAAGGGTTGATGTGTTGATCACCTACAGTTCAAAGGAGTTCACCTAATTAGTGTGAACTCTTGCAGCTATAAGTAGTCTAAATGGAACATGCTTGTTGGAATATGCAGCTCAGTGTACCTTGAAAAAGTAATTTAGGAGGTGGTGCTACAGGCTACTAGAGGTGGTCCAACCTTTTTGGTCCTATGGGACAGATGCTAGTGGTGGGGCACCTCTGGACCACATACAGAAATACAGGTTCCAAAAATGGCATCCTCCGTGCAGTGTGACATCATGAGCACTGTGGAGGATGCTATTTTATAGACCAGATCTGCTACTGGGGAGGGTGGAAGTGTTTGGGGGCTGCATGAAACTGGCCTGTAAGCCACCAGTGGACCACCCATAGGTCATTGCTGCAGTTAATGTCATATCTGCATTAGCTAGCCTTTGGAGAAGTTAAGGTGGCACTGCACTATGAATATCCAGTGGCTGTTCATATTTGAAGATCTGAAAAAGGCAGCTCTAGCATGAACAGTTTACCCAGACAACTGTTTCTTCTTGGTCAAGTGGCAAAGCAGTTAGCTACAGATATTTGTGTGGTACAGCTGCAGGATAAAAAGGCACATAAAGTTTGAACAGAAGAGAACCTAAAGCCTGCTAAAGCGCAGAACTGGGAGTCAGGAGATTTGGGTTTTTCCATTTCCTGGGTCTGCTGTGTGAAAATGAGCAAGAGGCTTCACGTCAAAGTGCCTGTGATACTATGGGGATAATGATAACGAACAAGGGTGATGTGAAGGTTAATCTTTTCAGAATGCTTTGAAAGCCTGTTACAGAAGGTACTATAAATATTATTTATACAGTTTTTACTCCATCTTCATGTTAAGGGATAACATGACTGGCCAGAACAGGACTTTTCTATTAAACTACCATGTAGTAAAGACACAAATATGATCCATAGAAGATCAGCTCCCTAAGTTTAAATAGAACTTTAAAGAGGTCAAATCATTACTCAGGCAAAATGGATATAGGAGATAATGACAATTTTGCCTAAGAAATGCAGATTCAGTGTAATTTTCCAAGAGGAAAGCTTAACAGTTTTAGCAAGAGAGTGGTTGCAACCTGCAGAAGTGAGGTATTAAAGTTACTAGGGTTAGCTATTATATCACTTATCCCAGACCTCACTTAAGTTATCACATATCTCTGTGTATGAGTGGAGCTAACTTGGAAACAGAAAATTCCTGTTCTTCTTTGAACCTACTGAGTGACACGGGTACCATTTTTTTTTTCTTGCACTGTGGTGGGGTTGTGAATGCATTCCACGCCAATTTTTATTTATTTTCTTCCTCAGTCCCTTACACTCACTCACATGGCTGTGCATGTCCTAGCCTCCACCTGAGGAGAGCTAGAAAAGTGGAGCCCATTTTGGAGCCCATCAGTACAGTTTCTTAAAGCCTTTTTCACACTACATCAGACACCTTGATAACAATATACGTTTAATACATGTTGCTAGTGTGGATGTAGAGACAGTGTGAACGGAGGTTTGTTTTTGATAACTGCACTAGCCAAATGATGCTATAGACAAAAAAGTTCATAGCTTAATTTTTATAACATAGTTCTCGGGGAGGGGGGTATGTTAATACATTGGTCAGGAAAGTCATGCTAGATCAGTGGTTGCAATAACTGCAAAAAGTGACTCTTGCTAGCATAAACCAATTTAGTTAGCTCAGTGCAAATTGTGTGTAGACCAGGCTAAGCATTTACATTTGATAACTGAAAAGATACTCTGAAAAGGTAATTTATAGGATCCAGGAAACAAAGTCCATTTAGTAACTGACGGTTAATAGTAGGCTTCCCTTTGGAAGAGAGAGCACTTTGATACACAAAGGTAAAAGGTACCCAAAGCGTTTGAAGAAAACTAGATTTCCCTCTGATTAAGCAGCTAGAACCAGAGTAGAAAAGAGAAACCATAATTTTTTAGGCATGAAGCCACCACTTTTTCTCTAGGAAAACTACAATTTTAATACAAGACACAGAGCCTCCTCTACAGTGCCTATTTGAAGCCCATTAGAAAGTAATTGCGGAAGCAAAATCCAAAATTGGCTAAGATTAAGAAAAATATTTGGACCAGACAGTTGCTTTACCAGTTTATGTAATTCAGGAGCCTGTTAGACAGCTTTGGTAAATACTGCCTTTTCAAGTAAATTGGGCACCAAATAAAGTCCACTAGGTATCTCTCCATAATCTTACACAGTGGTATAACAATGGGATAGAAATTAGAAAAGATAAATGAACAAGAGTGTTTTTTCCCCCTCTAGTGAATAAAGGAACTGGGTCCCATTCTTATGTCTTTTCAACACGCTATATACAAGTTCAGTTCCTAATCAAAGTCCAGGTGGAAAACTTGCAAAAATAGAGAAAAGAACACTTCCTAAACCCTTTAAAACTATTTCTATGGATACTGCTGCAGATTAGTAG